GCCTCTTGCGCCCCTAGTGACATCCTTATCCGGTAATCCGTCCACCCTCCAGAGACCAGACCCTTCCACGTCTCGGGAACAGTAAATTATTTAAATTTAATCACGTGCTCCTCCCTTTCCTTGGAGATAAATTCAATTATACCCCTATTAATGTGCGAACAGTTGATTGTTTCAAATATTTATTGCCCGGGGTTTTACACCCTGACTCTTCCGTTCACCTGTCTTGAAATCCAACATGAAAATGTTTCCCTTTACACCAAAAAAAAATTAACGAAATGAAAATATCCCTACAAATTTTTTCCTAAAGTCAGACTATTATTTTTATTTCTATTACTTGCATTAGGACAATTGGATAAACAATAAAAACAATCGTTGTTCACAATGCCCATTTTCTTTGCATATCACTTGCAGCGTTCAGAAATAATTGCAGAACTTGAACGCTTGAAAAATTCAAACAATATTCTGTATCTCTTATTTTTCCATTTCTTTCTCACACTCTCTCCAAGTTGAATATTTCAACCAATAAATTATGTATTCGTCAGTTTTTTAATTTAATTTTTAGAAAATAAATTAATTCAAGATACTCGGTCCATTTTATGGACCCCTTACTGCCATCTTTCAGGACTCTCTTTCTCTCTCCTCCCTCTCTCTCTCTCTCTCTCTCTCTCTCTCTCTCTCTCTCTCTCTCTCTCTCTTTCTTTGCCTCCCCTCTTTCATAAATTTCAAATGATTATTTATAAATTAATTTTGTTATAGTTAAGTTCTTGATATTAATGCTTCCTATCTATGAAAAACGATTTCTCTCTCTCTCTCTCTCTCTCTCTCTCTCTTTCTCTCTCTCTTTCTCTCTCTCTCTCCCTCCCTCTTCCTTCCACCCTCTCTCTCTCTTTCTCTTTTACTCACTCACCCACTCCCTTTTTACCTGTTTCTCTCTCTCTCTCCTACACACACACACACACACACACACACACAAGAAGTGAGAGATAGAGTATCTATCTATCAATTTAATTATCCTTTCTCTCCTAAAATCAATAAAACTTTACAATAATTTACCCAATGTTATAAAATCATGTAAATTTAAACATATTTATAAAAAACATCTAAAAGCTTTTCTTTCTAAGGCTATTTTGAATCATACTCCGTGCTACATCAATAATATTTAAAAATATATATAGACAGTAAAAAAATATATTTGTATTATACGTTTTTTCTTTTGAATTATTTAAACTTTATTTGTATGTCGGATGCTTGTTAAATGTAAGAAAATCTACGTGACTTTAGTTTGCATGCTTTTATATATCAAATGTTCAAGTCAATTCATTATCCATCTACCTATCCATCTATGTATCTACAGATTTTTTTATAGAATAAACCATGTACTTTAACATTGCACTGGCGAAACATCGTACATTTAGTCATAACCTTTTTTTAAACCCCTTAAAAAAGCCTATAAACAGCAAATATTTATTTATATTCTAGTTTATCGATTGAAGATTTTGTTTTTAACGAGGTTTTTAAGTAGGAAGAAACTAAGAGACCTTGTTTGTTTGTTGTAATTCAATCCATTCTCAGCAGTAACCAATTAACTGAACTTACTAATTACCTAAATGATATGTGAATTTAATTTCATATTCAATTAAAACCATTGTACGTTTGGTTTTCGAATTCGTCATTTTCATATTCAACAAGGCCAGTTAGAGGGGGAAGGGGCCAATGATTGCGAAGGAAGGAAGCGAAGACAATCTTATAATTTATTCAACTACCTTCCACTCTCAAACTCTGTAATCCAGTTATATTCGGTGACAGAACATCTTCCAAGCAGACAAATTGTATTCTGCCAAGTGTGCTTCATCTCTTCCCGTCTAGATTTCTCAAGCAATTTTTAATTTCCTTCGGGACACTGCATCGCCCTCTTTCTCCTTTGTTCCATATTTATGCCCGGTGGATTTTTGTTAAAAGACGCTTTTGAAACGTCTACGGGTTTTTTTGTTTTATCGTTCTAACGGTTCCCTTCCAATATGATTTTTCACCCCCTACCCCAAATTTCAGCTAGTTCAAACGCAAAACCACATGGGTTTGCCTACTTCTACCCTATGTACACTAAATACAGAAATGAAGCAGAAAACTGAGTAAAAATGTAACAATACAAGGCTCGTTTTGCTAGTGCACGGTCGTTTTGATTGTTTCTGTATGGGAAGTGGAAAATGACGCAAATCCTGAGGTTTACGAGAATCTAATTTGCAATATTCATTTGAGTCTCAAGGTGAAGGACACAGTGACCAGGATGTCGCTCATGTCGATTACTGAAGTTTGTATAAACAAAACTACACGTGTCAGTAGTCCCAGATCACCTTCACGAACTTCAATTTAAAATAATATATTGAAATTTTGGAAATATCAAAATGGTATAGTAAAAAAAAATTGGTTCTCATTTACTGAATTTATTATTCACAATTTTTTCCAAATGAAAAATTTGTGCCACAGGCGAGATTCGGCTGTCGTTATTATTTTATCCAACCCACTGTTCACTCGTATAACTATTAAATCAGTATTTATGAATCGATATTAGAAAGTAATTGTTTTTTATATAATTTGGACTTGCATCCTACAAACTGATTCTTACAAGTTTCCGTCAAATCAAAGATTTTGAACAATGTCAAAGTATTACTAATTTAGTGATATGATGATACATACGTCTTACTATTGCCACAGTAGGCCAGGATAAACATAGAAATGTTTAATTTTATCGATATTTCGATATTGTTTATATTTTGAACAATAAAATAATTTTTTCAGTACTGTATTTCTCTATGATGTTATTTATTCATCTTTATACATCTATATATCATCTTCAGGGCTCAGTGTTTGTTTTCTGCGTAATTGTGCCCAAGAGTCACTCTCAACGACACGCAAGAATGGCACAATTACGCAGAAAAAAAAACACTTTGAGCCCTGAAGATGATCTCAATAAAGATCGAAACGTTGGCTCGATAAAGATAATGGTTTTCTGAAACCTACATAACACCAGACAGCATCTCACTATTTCTGAATAATCATCGACTAACTTTTTTTGCTGATTCTACCCTCCAAAATATCAGACACGTATCCACCACTTCCTGCGAATAGGCCTTGGTTTTGCCAAAAAAAAAAAAAATGTTCAAAGTTGAAATTTTCCATTTTTTAATATTTTTATTTCGCTGTACTATGTATCTAATATATCATTTTATAGCATTTTTTATGGAGATAGCTATAAAAATATAGCAAAAGCTATGAAAGTTTATCGATAACCAAAAAAAATTCTAAAACCCAAATATTTTTCAATTAAACAAGATTTTTTTTCTGATTCTACCCTCCAAAATATCGGACGTGTAACCGCCACTTCTTGTGAATAGGCCCTGGTTTAGCAAAAAAAAATTGAAAATTCCAATTTTTCGTTTTAAAATATTTTTATTTCGCCGTACTACTTACTCCAAATCAACTATGTGAATATATCATTTTACAGAATTTAAAAAATATAATAAAAGCTATCAAAGTTTATCGATAACCAAAAAAATTTCTAAAAACCAATTATTTTTCAAGTAAACTAGATCATAAAAAAAATTCGTGAAAATAATATGAAATTACGTTTTATCACATCCCTAAACATAAAGTTTTGTTTGAATTTAAATTTCTCGATTTTTTGATTCCTAAAATTTTTAAGAAGTCTCGTAATATCTTATTGAAATGGTTATAATTCAAAAACGGTTAAAAGGATTTTAATGTCAAACCATACCATTTGAAAGAAGAGAAACGTAGCTTTTTAACGAGGTAAGTACCATAAAAATATATAAAAGATTTTTATAAGAAAATTCATAAAATAAAAAAATATTTTTGTCAGAAATTAGCGTCGTTTTTTAAATGGGAATAATAGTTCGATTTTAATGTTTGATACAGCTATAAAATGCAATTGACAGTTTTTTAAACTAATTTTCAACCATTTTTTGTTTTTGAAAAAAATGCCCATTTATAAGTATGGGGGGGCGCTGGATTCGAACCCGGGACCTTTACCTTGCAGTGATGAGCGCCGTGTCAACGCCTAAACCGTTGCGGCCACCGACACCCCTTTAAATCTATTAATTTCTATTTGTGTTTCTCCAGCCAAGTCGTGATCAGATCAATTAGGATGGGAATCGTGTCTCTTCCTTTTCTTCGTCGTATTGCTAGCCTTTCTGTACCTCAGGGACTCGTCAATTGTTCATAAAATATAGTAAATACACATAAAACAAAAACAAGATAAATCATGATATCCTGATTAGTATATAGACTACCACAGAGTACTCGATATTCCTCTGGTAATTGGTGATAATCGGCTCCATTTGCGCTAATAAATTACATTCATCCCCAGTCTTCGTTCACTAGCCCAGAATGGTCGATATTTCTCGGGTTAATTGGCCCCCGCCATTCACGCTGGTAAATTACATTCACACACCACAATTCATTCACACTACCCCTGCCCTTTCCTACGTACATACATTTCATTTTTTATTACGTCCAAAAAACCCCTATTTGAAATAGAAAATTATAAAAAGCAAAAGTCTAGTTGTTATAGGAAAGATTGAATTTGGTTGGCGAAGGTTTGCAATGTTTAAAGAGCTTTTTAAACAAGCCATATAATTTTATTTAGTGAAATAAATTAAGTTATACATTATCGAAAGTATTGTCCAACAGTTGTAATTATTGTAATGTAATGATAATGTTGTGAACGTTTGGTGCTGTTTTTTTATTCCAAAGATAGTTCTGCCGAGGTTTCGACTTTATATGATGTCACCTCATGGCGTTTTGCTTCAGGTCTGGATGTTGTTCAGTGTTGTTGAAAAAAGGCCGTGACCACAACCTTGATCATTACATCGGCATAATAAATTAAGTATCTAAAAATAAGAATATACAAAAGTTAATTTATAATAAATATTGTGTTTTGTTACTTGGTTTTTTAAAATTAATCCGAACGTTTCAATGTCTAGATGCAAGAAGCCATTCAAAACCAAAATTACCGAATAGCTTCAAACTACATGCACAGTAACCCGTCGTTTGATAATCAGGTATGTAAAAACTAAAATGAAATGTTAAAAAAACATAGTTAATCATTCTAAATTAGTAAAAATTACAATAATAAAGGTAATTTATAAGTTTTTTGAAACCTCAGTAAAATGCCTTAGCTAAATACAAATTCAAACATGTTAAAAGTTTAAAGGAATAGTCAGAACACAGAATGTCTAAATGTTGTGTTAAAACGAGATTGATCATATATTTGTAAATTACATATTGTTAGGTACACCATCAAATTATTTACTGTTTGATATATTTGCGTATAGATCTTCAATTATTTATTTAACAATAATCATCTTAAAATAGCCAAATAACTTAAATTTTGCAGGTGGCTTTTAGAAATATCTTTTTGTTTTTTCTCTTAGAATTAATGGCGCTATAAGTGACAATTCATATTCTACTTTTTTATTATGACAATTTTATTTTTTGTAACCACTAATTTGAGAAAAATGTAAAATTGTATTCACGTTTTTACACAACTAAATTACAAACAAACCCGGCTAATAACATACATTTTAAATTGAAATTTATTATACCTTTGGTAGACTGCCCATTGAATTTAGTTAAAAGGGTAGGCATCAATCAAAATATTTCATGTCTGATTTTCCTCTACTAAATAATAAATAATAAAACTAATTTTGAGAAAATAGACCGTTCCTTGACACAAATAAAAATCCTACAAAAAATCTTTTGAAATTGTAATAATTGATTTTTTACGTAATATTACTTCACGATAAAACCTCCTTTACCTGTTTTCAATTATTTATTTTTTTGGCATTTCTACGCTTTACGCTTAAGTTTTTGTTGTTTTCCATTGTACTTATACGAAAATTTGCACTTTGTGTTTATTCTTCTTCTAAAGCTTTCTATTTTTAAATATTAAAACAACTTTAAATAATACATTAACACCTGAAAATTTGGCGTCATATTTTTTCGCGTTTAAAAATATTGGCCTGGTTCTTCACCATCAAATTGAACGTATATTCCAAACTAGTGGGTCCTTTTTGACAAAACAAAATTTATACTCAATTGCGTACTTCTATGATGCTTAAAATTGCTACAAATTCAAAATCCTTGGAAAAAATAAACGTGAAATCTTTTCTACAGCACTTTGTTGTTGGAGAAAAGTGGGTATCACGATATCCCTGTGGATACTAATAGGAACAAACAAGAATTCTAAGGACTGTTTTTCTTTTCTTATTTTGTTTAAAAATATTGTAATATATTAGAAGAATATACGGTACGTATATGTTCTATTGCATGTTAAACAGACTTCCCAGTTTTTTTCCGTGGGAGAGACCCTGCATACATTGAATTCTAAATTTTGTTGTTGCCTATCTATTAAGCAAGTAATTTCTGTAAATCAGGAAGGCTTAACGACCGTTGAGTATCGCGGAAAAGAGGTGTAAACTCTTCAAAATTTGTCCGTATTATTCACAATTAAAACGCTATGAGCTATGCTGGGATTCGAACCCAAATATAGGCCTATCAAGGAAGCCATTAAATTAAATGACGGTTCCGTAGTGCGGTAAGAGCAATAAAACGATCGTCTCTAGCCGTCTTACATCGGTCGACCGTGGTCCTAAACCGATGTGGCTCATGGTGGATGTTAGAGCGCGGCATACCCAGGACTTAGGCTATGCTGCGTCCGTCATTGGCCAAAGACTCTGCCCGGGCATAAAAACCCTGCTTTTAAGAAAAAACTAATTTATTTTTACTCCCATTTATTGTTTCGTAAAAAAAATAAAAAACCAAATAACTCACTCAACAAGTTGGTTTTGGAAAGGATGAAATTGAACTGATTGTTCTTTATTTTTAATCTAAAGATTGTAAAATGGTTAGTAACCTCCTCCTATAGCGGTAAACAGCTAGTTATTAATGTTGTGTTGTCGTTTTAAGTCAACTATGAATTAATCTTTATCCCCAGTAATTAAGGAAAATTAAGACAAGTGTCATTTGTTTTTCCTTTGGTTGTATATGCATTTCATGAAAAATAAAAACGGTTGTAACTTTTCTTAACAACAAAAAAAAAAAAAAGAAACCTAGATATTTGAAAAGAAGCAACTTTTAGACGAAAAACAATTAAAAATTAAGTTTATTTAATAAACTGAATATGTTGAGATGCAAGTGACTTTCTTCAGACTTTACAGCGTTTTATCGTGAAAAGACAGAGTAAAAGAAACCCTGTATACATAGGGTCCTAACAATTAATTAGGCTTTCTAATTTTTTATTTGAATATATTTATTTTTGTATTAAAAGGGATTAGGCCAAATCGAAAAAAAGCCAAATTTCTTTGAGCTTTCGAAAAATAAATCACTTTTATCAATACATAATCAATATATCACCATCTTTAACCTACCTTCATCAAGACTATTAAACTATACAATTTGAAATTCGAATCATGGGAAGGACGTTCTTTTGGTAATACGCTTATTTTGCACAAAATTGCACGTTTTTACCTTTCACTGCACAAAATTGCTTTTTTTAATACTTTTATGCATAAAAACAACATGAAAATACATCATCTTTATGAGTTTACAGTATTTAGTAAACAAATTGACGGCAAAATATTTTTTAGAATGCGCACCCGTCCAAGTTTTCAACTGTCGACGCCTAAATTTTCCCAAGAAATGTTTTGTTTTACATCCGCTCTTTTTCTATAACTTACTTATTTTTCATTTCTCAATCTTGATTGGGCTTCGGAGGAAAGCAGAACCACTTATAAAGCCTGTAAAGTTCGTAGTGTCGAATGGTCAAACTGAAGACAGATGGTCAAATTTTTGTAACCCTCGTCAAACAAGGGTCTAAGCTGTAATTCCGCGTGCTAAGTAGGCGGGTCATCGATGACCAGATTATTGACTTCAATTTTATTTCGTACTACAAACGTTTTAAAAAGAAATAAAAATTAATTTTAGTAACGGAAATGGGAACAAAATATATTTTGAATTTACATTCTATTTCACAGCGTATAAATATATTTCTATATTTTTAAATTTGATAAAATTTAAGGGTTATTGGTTTAAAAATGGATATACTTGAGCTAATGAGATTTTAATGATTTCTTTTGTAACGCGCAATAAACTGTACCAAACATGACAACTAATGGCCGCTTCACCTCGACCAATTTTATTATAAAAAATTCATATTGCCCAACGCCCAAAAGCATGCAAAAGCAACATATACATATATAGTAGTCGTAATTGACCTATTAATTAAAATAAAATAAACAACGTTTGACACAGTAATTAATTTTATTAGGTAAATTAAATTTGTACTATATTAAATGGGAGTTTATATATTTATTTCACTTTTTTCCACGATTTTGAGGTGTTTTTGCACATTTTGAGGTTTTTATTGCACGTTTTGAAGGTTTTATTGCATGAAAATCCAGTCTTTCTTATTAGAAATAATTCACTAGTTTTCGTGGAACGCTTAACCAAATAACATCTTTCAATTAATTAATCTGTATTTCAGGTATTGGTTGAGATAAAAAAGTCAGTGTCACGAACGGGTTTCGAACACACGATCTTCCGCTAAATACGCTGCTGCTCTACCACTTGAGCTATCGTGACTTCGATCCACTCGGACACTAACTTCCCATCTCAACCTCACCTAATTTATCTCAACCAATACCTTAAATACAGATTAATTAATTAGAAATAACAGTGTTGGGGTGAGAATGTCGATTTTTCACTTTTAGTAAAGGATAGCTCTTACTCACTGGTTTTGTTGTATAAAGCATATACAATCCGGTCTTTGCACAAAAAAAAGAAAATTAAACGTTTTTGCATTATAAATTAAAATTTTGAACCTTCTCAGTCTTATTACATGGAAATGTAGTAGAAGAAACTGTATATGTCGAATTCTAGAAATTATTTTTGTTTACCTATTTTGAATTTGGAATAAGATTTGGTTTGGAAAACGCTGAATTAGATTTGGAAAAGGTATAGAACGCATATGTTGTGTTGCAAATTTTTCAACCTTCACAGTCTTTTTCACATGAAAACGTGATTGTCATTACAAGGAAACAATGCATGGGTTTTGATGAGTCGTCTGCTATGCTTGTTACTTTGATTGGCCGAGAGATTGTTGTCTAATGGAAAAAAAGAGGGGGAGTCCTCGGAGCGGCCTCAGAAATTTATTCTACTACAAGGTCTCCTCACAGGATGTAATTTTGAAGAATGGCCGGAGACGGTAACAAAGCTGAGAGAATCCGCTCTACCTAATAACAGTGCGACATTCGGGCTGTTCCCACTGGCTCCATGAATATGCACAAGTCCATTCGGCGAGAAACTTTAATTGCCGGCCGTGTCCACGCGAGAACGGATTACCATGACAATAGACCATGGAGTCGCACATTTGAATACGGCCTCAACTGTCCATGTCCACCGTCCTGTCGATGCCGTCCGGGAGGAACCTCGTCAGTGTCACAACACTATTGTTTGGAAAAAAAAACGCTCCTGCTTGGATTAATCCGCTTTGGATAACCCACGCCGAACCGCTCCTTATCGACGATGTGCCTGTTTGATATGCGTGGGACTAAATGATACTGCAGGTTTCTTCTCGCCATAGATTTATATCCAAATCCGGATAAGATTTATTTGTTATCTCCTGTTCGATCATTAAACAACATAACTGGGTCCGCTTTTTCGTCGCAGAACACATATTTACTTCAAGCCGTCAACATTTTTTAACATTTGAAACTAAAAATATGCATAAAATGGTAATGGTTTAATTAATGTGACGAAAGATTAGTACATTAACTTAAATAACCAGTTTTCCAGTTAAAATCAGACTGTTAAGTATGCTAATTGCTTTCCTAAAGTCTGATTTTAGTTAAATACAGTGGACGCCGCTTATAAGATTCACTTTGGGACCATCAGAAAGGGGGACCATCCTGAAGGAAACAAGATTTTAGAGTGTATATAATATTTATTTTTCCTGTCAATACACATAGACATAGCGTGTCATTCACCTATAAAATTAAGGTAA